TAATACAGATGCAGACTTCACTCTTAGAACTCATAACCAAGAGAACAAAGTTTCCACTTGCAATTAGTAATCTTTCTTCCAGGAAAGACTTCTGATTGGGTTTCCTCCATTAGTGCTCAGGTGACTAGCAGCTTACTGCTATTCCAGCAGATATTAAATATAACACTGTTTCTTGCCTCAAATTAAAGTTAAATAGGAAAAATAATTTCTATTGCTTCATGTCATTTGAATATACCAACTCACAGGAAATTTTTGCATCGTGGTCAGCTTGGTAAGCAGTGTCAAATTTCGGACTTAAAATTATATTTGCTACAGAGGTATTATAAAATAACTCATTGAAACTGTCAAAAGAATGCAATGTCTAAGTGCAGTTCTTAAATTGTAATTATGTGTAAATAGATTCAGTGATCCGCGATGTGGTACTGCCTCAAGGCAAACGAAGAAACTTGTCAAGAAGTATTGATACTTAAAGTAACTGACTCTACAGAAAAGATTGGAGTGTGAACGTATCTAAACTTCCATTTCTTTCAAAACAACTGTTTCACAGTAGTTTGCATAACAAATTAAACTTCCAACAAGCACATTCTTCTTCTTCTGAGAAGTTGGCTGTATGGTATAATACTTAGCAGAAAGAAAATGCAAAATCAAAGCCAGTTTAATCTAGCTGGGGGGAAAGCCTGCATTTGTTACTTACATTATTTTTTCATTTTCTTCCTGCTGGAATTATTGGAATACAAAACCAGGGAGTGGCTAAAGTGTTGGGGAACCACTGTCAATTGGCTTTAGCAAATATTTGACAAGGAACCACGCAATAAACTCAGGAAAATTGCTAAACCATTTAAAAAGCAGCAAGAAAACAATGGTCAAAGAGATTTGGTTTTTTTGGAAGGCTTTTTCTTTTTTTTGTTCTCTTTTGGTTGACTGTAAACCACAATTAGGATGACCTTCACAGCTCTGAGGATTAGAAAGAAAGGGTGTGGAGGTGATTAGCTGCGGGCGGGAGGGGCTGAGATTGAGAGAAATGACTTTTCTTTGGCTTTGATCCCGTCCCTTGCAGGGAAGGGACCGAGGGCCAAGTGAGGTAAAAGTTTCTAGAAAATGACAATAGATCGAAACCAGGGGAAAGTATCTCACTGTTTGCCGTGGAAGCCATGATTCTGACCTTGAGATACAAAGGTAGGGCTCACCTTCCCGACAGGGTCAGAAACACTTTTCAAGATGTATTCCTTAAACATTTTTTTTTTTTTTAGCCTATAATGTTGAAGTGTGCCCTTTCCGTAAGCTCTATGCCATTGTGAATAATACTTAGCAATACACAAGAGAATTGTAGGATGAAGATTTTAAGAAAGGAAACAGATTCAAAGATTGTTGAGAAGGTAGGGACTAGGGAATTTATACCAAATTGATGACAATAAATAATAAAGTGGCCATTTAATAATTAATAACAATACATAACTTTATAATGACCTTAATGTTTATTAAGATAGTACTATGTGCCTGGCAGTTCTAAACTCTTTCCCGGTGGTAATTGACTTAACATTCGAGGTAATACTAGAGGTAATGAGAGGGCAGGGTGGGGTGAGGATGGGCTCCTGACACCACTGTGGGGCAGGGCAGAGTTTTCCTCCATTCTGTAACTGAACCCTAGCCCTCACCCAACCAATCAGGGTTAGCTGAGGCAGTGACATCACCACCGACCGGAGTAAAACCCCTGGACTGGGTGAAATTCGCTCTCTTCCGCCATGCTAGCATGAAAAAGGCTCTTTTGTTTATTGCATCGGACTCGGCTCCCTGGTGATCCTTGGGGATCACAAAGTCTGGGCATAACAGTATGTACTCTTATTATTCCCATTTTCCCAACAAGGAAACAGGCACCAAAAGGTCAAATAACTTGCAATGGTGAACCACGTGATCTGAGATAGAGCCAGGATTCACACTCTTGTTCCAGAGTCTGTATTGTAAGTAACTAAGTTCTTCTACTGTTGGTTCCATAAAATACACATGTTTTATTGCACAAGCATATTTTAATTCCATGGCTATTCTATTGGGTCGGCAAGTAAGTAATTGCGGATTTTTTAAAGAAAATCAAAGACAATTTTTTCATGGAACTAAATAACTTTATTCTGTAATGTATTGCCCATTTTGATCAATGACCTTTTGCCATCTTTCAGGCAGCATCATAATCCCACGTTCAAAAAACTTCTGGTTTTTATTAGCAAAAAACTGAATCAGGTACGATTTGACATCATCATCATTATTGAAATTTTTACCATTCAAGGAGTTTTGTAAAGATCGAAACAAAAAGTAATCAGATGGTGCAAGGTCAGGACTATATGGTGGATGTGGCAAAACATCCCAACCAAGCTCCATTAATTTTTGCCGAGTGACCAAAGATGTGTGTGGCCTTGCATTGTCATGATGGAATACAACACCTTTTCGATTTGTCAATTTGGGCCGCTTTTCTTCAACTGCATTGTTTAATTTCATTAGTTGTTCAATGTAGACATCAGAATTGATCATTCGGTTGGGTGGTAAGAGTTCAAAGTAGACAATTCCTTTGTAATCCCACCAAACTGATAACAAAACCTTCTTTTGATGAATATCAGCTTTTGATGTTGTTTGAGTTGGTTCACCTGGCCTGCTCCACGATCTTTTCCGCTTGATATTGTTGTAAACAACCCATTTTTCATCGCCAGTTATCAGTCGTTTTAAAAATGGATCATTTTCATTACGTTTCTTTAGCAAATCGCAGCTGCTAATGCGTTGCGTTAACTGTGATTCTTTCAGTTCGTGAGGAACCCATGTATCGAGTTTTTGAACATAGCCAAGTTGTTTTAAGTGATTTTCAATGCATGTATGTGATACATGAAGCTTCTCTGCAATCTCACGTGTTGTACTGTGACAGTCCAAATTGATTATTGCTTTGATTAGGGCGTCATCAACTTCAATTGGACAACCAGAGCGTTTTTCATCTTTGAGTGAAAAATCACCAGAACGAAATTTGGCAAACCAATTTTGACACTGCCGTTCTTTTAAGGCTTCGTCACCATAAACAGCACATAACTTTTTATGAGCTTGCGATGCGTTTTTCCCTTTGTGGAAATAAAAAATCAAAATATGACGAAAATGTTCCTTTTGATTTTCCATTTTTCAACGAACGCCAAACGAAAACTACAAAACAGATCAAAAAACTTTTTTTACTGATTAACAGCTGAATAGCCAACTATCAAATAACAAAATGTGTTTTACATTTTTACTACGTCTGCAAACCTAAAAATTCAACTGAAGCCATATATGTGTGAAACCCGCAATTACTTACTTGCCGACCCAATATTTCTTAGGAAAATTTATGTTGGTGTTTATCGATTTTCTTGTTAAATTCAGAAATGTGGCTATTGAGTTGCACACCGAAATGTTAGGTTCAATGTTTTAGAACAGATGCTCCGGTTTGGCTACTGCTACTTCACAGCTAGATACCAATGAGTTCTATAATCAATTCAAACTTTTTACCACAGTAATATTTACATCTGCCGTGAATATCAAGCTCACTTCCTGATTCCCTGAGATATCAGAACTGGCAGCATTGTCATTTGCAGTGCGTGCTGTGGGTCTGTCACAGCGTCATGGTGTCACGGGTTGACCAAGAAGAGGTGGCGAGGCAGCTGCTATCATTCTGTAAAGTTCAAAGCATTAAACAACCACTTAGGGGCAATATTTCCTGGGCTCAGTTTTTCCTGGGCTCAGTGATACTGGGTTAGTCCATTTCACTCATGGAGATAAAGAATTCAACCCTGCATATATCTGGGGGAAGGCATTCCGAGTAGAGGGAACAGCTAGAGCACAGGCCCTGAGACAGGAGCATGCCTGGCATGTTGGAGGACAGCCAGGACACTGTTGTGGCTAGAGTGGACTAATGTGGTGAGTAGTAGGAGATGAAGTCAGAGAGATGGGGCCTTATTGATGCTTCCGAGGAGTATAGATTCTACTCTGACTGAGATGAGAAGGCACTGGATATTTTTGCTCTGTGTTGCAATCACAGCTTCATCAAAAGAACCATGCCAGCCCAGCCGGTGTGGCTCAGTGGTTGAGCATTGACCTATGAATCAAGAGATCACGGTTCAATACCCAGTCAGGTTATAATCTCAATCCCCAGTAGGGGGCATGCAGGAGATAGCCAATCAATGATTCTCTCTCATCATTGATGTTTCTATCTCTCTCTCCCTCTCCCTACCTCTCTGAAATCAGTTAAAAAAAAAAAAAAGAAAGAAAGAAAGAAAGAATCATGCCAGGTGCTATGTAGACTGTGATGAGCAAGGATGGAAACAAGGAGACAGATTAGGAAAGAGTGCAAATATCCAAGAGAAACATGATTGTGGCTTGAACCAGAGCCTCACTAGTGGTAGTGATATGGCATGGTCACATTCTGAGTATTTTAGGGGTAGAGCCACTTAGATTTGCTGGATGGATTGGATAATGTGAGGAGAGATTAAAAGAGGAAATGAAGACAACACCAAGATTATTTTCTTGGACAGTTGGAAGCTAGGAGGAGGATTGCCATTTGTTGACATGGAGAAGATTTAGAAAGAGAAGGTTTTTGGAGAAGAGGAGAATCAGAAGTTCAGTCTTAGATATATTAAATTTGATATATCTGTTATATATTCAAGTACAGATATCAAGTAGGCTAATGGATACTACATGACAGTTTAGGATATATACATCTTTAATGTTACTGTGTATCACACAATTGAGATTATTTGTGCCTATTTAAATTTCACGTGCAGTAACAACACTTTCATTGGCAGTTTTTCATATTGGTAATTTAATAGAACTATCTGGTATCTCACTGACAATACTGTTGAACAGAACAAAACTCTTGGGTTAATCCACCTGAATCTTAATTTTACTACATACATATTCATAACTACTAGCTGGTGAGACTGTTGACCCACTTTCCCAAACCAAAGTGGACAACAAGCCCCGACCGGTGTGGTTCAGTGGATAGAGTGTCAGCCTATGGACTTAAAGGTCCCAGGTTCGATTCCGGTTAAGGGCATGTACCTTAGTTGTGGGCACATCCCCAGTAGGAGGTGTGCAAGAGGCAGCTGATGGATGTTTCTCTCTCATCGATGTTTCTAGCCCTCTTTCCCTCTCCCTTCCTCTCTGTAAAAAATCCATAAAACATAGGTACTTAAAAAAAAAAAAGTGGACAGCAAATGGGATATACCACCTGCCATTAGTAAGAAAAGTGAATTGGCAACCTGTATATATTTCTATTTTCTTTTGGGAAGATGGAAATTTCTACACAGAGCATTGCAGTTTTGATATGGCTAATCTTGCTCTGGCCTTTGATGATGATCAAAGTCTCGCTAATGTAAACTAATTAGAGACATTGGACATGCTGAGTTTTGATTATAAAATGAAATAATTTAATTGCTTTTATGTGTACATAAATTGAATCTTTCCTGGGCTAATAATGACAACCTAATAGGCATGTTATGATTAGCTATGAGTAATTATACTTAGAATATTAAACATGGTTGAACTATTGCTGAATCCCATTTTTACTGCAAAGAGTGGGTGTTTCAAAGAGATTTTTTTTTTCCTTTTAAGTATGTTCATATTTACCTTTCAATGTAATTTGAATATAAGGATGGTTTGGACTAGTATTCATGAATTAGAAATGATGTTTAGTTTGCAGTTAGTTATATGAGTGATTGAATTGTTTCCTAGTATTAACTTATTGGAGAGAAAGAAATTATAAATGGCTATGTTATTTAAATATAGAATATTGTGAAAATTATTAGGACACCATTTCTTTAAAGATATTCAGAATATGAATTCCAATCCTAACAGATTTTTTTAACATATTAATTTCACTTATTTCTATTTCTGAAACTTGTCAATAAGCCTTGCACAAGCAGCAAAACAGCAGGGACAGTAGCTAAATCTTCTAGGAATCACTACAGTACATGATCAGGAATCAGAAAACCTGAGTTATATTCCAGTCTCTAGGACTAATAATTATTTTCTGTTACTTGGCAAATAATTTATACCTCAGTTTCCTTTTACTTATATGCTTTAAAATATATGGTTGCCAGAATAAAATATTAAGTATAAACTGAAAACATAAGGCCTTATTTTTATAAATTACTATAGGTAATTTTATCTATTTATTTATTTATTTATTTATTTATTTTAATCTATCTTATTGATTTTTTTACAGAGCAGAAGGGAGAGGGATAGAGAATTAGAAACACTGATCAGCTGCCTCTTGCACATCCACTACTGGGGGTGTGCCTGCAACCAAGGTGCATGCCCTTGATTGGAATTGAACCTGGGACCTTTCAGTCTACAGGCCGATGCTCTATTCAATGAGCCAAACCGGTTTCGGCCCTATAAGTAATTTTAAATAAAATTTAAATGAATTTTCCCCCAACAAACTAAAGTTGAGAACAAGAAAGGTGAGTGATGTAGGGAAATTCTGACTTTTAAAAATTTAATGTAATAATTAAAATTGTCAACAAATAATTTACTTATAAGTTGAGTAGTGTCTAAATTGTATATAACTGAGTATTATCTAAATTGTAAATAACTTCAATTTATTACACATAAGCTTTTCTTCCATCAGCTTTCCTCTCTTTTGTTGAGTTTTAGTTGGAACTACGTAAGAACAGAGGAGGAAAATAGAATTTTTTCAGTCCTATTTATGATAACTGGTATCTTGTGCCAGTTATATTTCTGGGAAGGTGAAGAGATTGTACATAAAGTAGAAATGTCTTGAGTTTATTGGCCTGGCTTTGATCCTACTGCTCCCATCAATCTTTCCTTTAGCTGGGCTACTTCATCTGTATCTGAAAGTTTCATTGTGTCCAGGTTCCCAGACCAAATGCTTTCTATTTAGGCAAAATATAAGAGACTCCAGACCAGCAGCATAGTAGCCCAGCCTTGTCAGTCTAGCAATTTATTTCCCTATTCTGGACCCAGTCACTAAAATCCTGTCTCATTTAATTATGTCTAAGTCTATACTTCCTGCTCTGTCCTTTTGAATCAGTAAGTAGCCTTGCCCTTTTATCTAAATGCTTAAAGGGCAGAATTTTCTCCCTGTGCTCCAGTCCCCTCCCTGTATCTGGAACCTGATACCTGCTTTCATATTTTCCTGTGGTGCATTACTTTTAAGTAAGTCTGGATTTTACCAATGACAACTGCACCACACCTCACTCACCTCCCATACAGCTGCCAACTTCCCAGCACTGAATGTCTCTACACTTACCAGCCAGGGTCTATTGAGTCTCTGCTTTTGGAGGCCTTTCTCCATAAGTTCTGTCACCTGCCTCTCGGACCTCTGGAGGTGGCCTACTAATCAATAGGTCCACCTAACCTCTACTTCTGAGTCCCTGGACTAGTCAGTATGAGTCAGGTTCTGAAATGCCCCAGTGCAGCAACTCTTTCTTAAAGGTCTTCTTCCTTACACAAAATTTCTTTCAAAGGTGATTTTCTCTTTAGACTGCCATGTCTCATGTGTAAAAGGAGCTCAGTAAATGTTCTTAGGCATTTGGTGCACTTACACATCCATGGCAGAGAGGACCAGTATCTTTAGAACAGAAATTAAGAGAATCCAATGCTCATTTACTTTACCCCTCAAAAACCAACTAACCAACCATCCAACTGAACAAAGAAACAAACCATCCAAACTTCCCCAACACCCCAAAACTCAGAAGGGTATAAAAATGATCAGCAAACTATGATCATTTAAACAATGGAGCATTCTCATCAAAGACTTAATTACTCAAGAAGGGCACAACTTGCTATGACTAATAAGCATTGGTCTGGGCTTTGGTGGACAGAGAGTTGACCAGAGAAAACTAGTTAATAGTTATGTAACTACTAATTAAATTAATGCCTCCCTGTTTCCATAAAGAAAAAAAGAGGCAGGTGCATGAATTTGGTGGCCCCTCAAATTACCAAATGGTAACATGAACTTTGGTACAGTTGAGTTAATCCTTTGATGTTAAATGGGTTGATTTTTGTCATATTAGAAAGGGAGTTGCATACTTGCTTGCCAGGGTAATACATTTGGAAGGGCCCTATTTTGGAGGTAAATGTAAATGGAGTCATGTAGTTTGAAAATCTGTGGAATTGTTTAAGTGACATGTGACTATATTTCTAACGAAGAATGATTTGTTCCCAAGATTAGTGGGTTTTAAAATTTTTTAAATAGAATTCAAAAGAAATACTCAATTTTATCTCTGTCTTAGACAAAACTAAAAGGCATTTTAATGGAAAAGATAAGTATTAACAGAATTTAAGATGACATATTTAATTGAATGAACCCATTAAGAAGTTTATTACTGCCCCCTGCTGTCAGTTTCTAAAAGAAATATGGTAAAATTGCTGTAAAAATTAACTTAGGTGAATTATTATAGTTGAACAAATTGGTTGGGGGGAAAAATTCCCTGCCTCTAATTTCACCACTTTTTAGCCAGGTATGCTAATGCTTACACCATGTTTGTGAGCAATGATTCGTAAAAACAAATAAAAAAACCAACTCTAGCAAAGTATGTATTAGTGGATATAGGAAGAGGAATAAAGCTTGTATTATGTGAAATGCTATATTAATTAAAAACACCAGTGCACTTTAGACAATGATGTCCTTCATAATTTCTCCAAATTTCATGATTTTTAATTTACTTTTTAATATTTATGTAATTTCGTTAAAACATGTCTCATTAATAAAAGCAAAACTTTGAAAATAAGTGGCTTATTTTTTTACCAGTATACTTAATCCTAACTTGAGAAATGTTACTTTTATTTTGCATATGAAATTAAGAGATGAGAAATACTAACAAGAATAGGTGATGCAAATGTAGAGCCACTAGGTGCAAGGCCTTGTTTTACTCTCACATATTATTGTGTTTAGTCATCATAAAATAGAATGCGGTAGGTGCTATTAGGATTTCCATTTCACAGATGAAGAAACTGGGTCCCGGAGTATAACTTGCCTATTTGGTCCAAAGGTGGAGCCATGACTAGAAACCCTGCAGTCGGACTCCAGGGTCCCTCCTCTTAACCTTTTGCACAGAAGTTATAAACTCTGCATTGAAGGAGAAGAGATTTATAGAAATCACAATGGACATGGTGATGTGTGTATGGGTGCCAACTAATGGCACGCTTATGTAACTGTTACTCTTTTCTGGGCCCTGGGCTCTAGTGGGTGTAGCCTGGGCGTGAATCACAGACTACATGTAGCGCTCCCACTTTGGTTTAATTTTGCTAGGAAAGTTCTGCCCTCTCTGCTTGCACAGAAGGCGTGTAAGAATGATTATCTTAAGTGAAAATGTGCCAACTGAGCCCAGTCTTAGGCCAGATTATATCCTCAGTGGCATTCTTGGGGTCTGCCCCGCGTACACCTGTGCCTCTCATCTGTGTACCCCCAGACAACTTCTAGCTTTAGCCACGCCTTCAGCCATCCTCAGCGACTCCTCAAAATTAGGCACACACTTTTCACAGTATGCTGAATAACTCAGTTGCACATTTTATAAGTTTCCCTGGCTGTTACGGACTCCAGAGTCCAAAATAACTCCCCATACCTGTCCGGTCCTTGGCCTTCCCAGGTACTAGGTGGTTCATGACAACAAATACTACTAGGATATCCTACCCACCAGGGACACGGAGGTCCACAGGACTCGCAATGCTGGGATGCCTTCGCCAAGCAGGTCCTTGAAAAACACCTCAGGCCCCAGAGGGCTAACCAGCCAGGAGCCCTCTCCTCCTCCCACATTAAAGCAACAATCAAAACTCAGCACAGCTCCTTTTTGACAATGCAACATGAAAACATGCCTACCTGACTCGAGGCGGTGGATTTCCCGAGACCCGACACTCCAAATAAACTCGGCTTCCTTCTGCCACCTCCTGGCTCCGCAGCTTCTGGAGGAAGCGAGGGGCCGAGGAGGAGCAGTGGGGTGCGCTCTGGGGCTGGGGCTGGGGCTGGGGCTGAGGGATGCTGCTGCCCGGCCCATCCTTGCCCCTGTCTGCCAGGGGGTAGCAGTGCCCAGTG